CGCCACGAATTCAATTTATTCCGAGCAATAAAATTTATACGGCGACATACCCGGCGGTATAAATAGCCCGAGCGAGGAAATTAATTAGATTTTCTTTTTTCAGTTCGGTACGCAGCAGGAAGGTACTTATTTATAAGCAGGGTGGTAGGCTAAAGCTAAAATTATTCTGGAATATAAATGTACACATCGCTGCAAAAAGATTTTCCGGAATATGAACACTACCATATACCAAGATATAAGTAAAAAAACTCAGATAAAATACTACTATACTACTACAGGTACTTTTTAATATTTTTTAAACATTTTTGCAATTTTGAAAATGTTCCGGACCTCGCCCAGATCTATAGTCCAGTCACTGAATGCGAAAATAAAGTAAAAGCTCCCAATTTTTTCGGATAGCATGGATTTTCCTGAAAATTTGCATACAAGCCCATCTGACCCCCCACTTCAGAAGTTATATTGTCTAGATGTGTGCTTTTTTCTATTTGGGGGGTGAAAACTACCCTTGTACGAAAAAAATGCAAAAATCGCAGATTTACGTATTTTAAAGATTCAATTCATGTTCAAATAAATATGTTGGGTAAAGTTCCTTTCATGTTTTTTAATATAATTTATGAAATTTAATTATTTTTCAACCCTTATAAATCCTTAAAAACTAAACTTCCATGGCCAAAGAAATTGAAAGAAAAGTTTTTAACAGTTTCAAATATTCTTTTGATGCATTCACAATGTGTTGCATTTCTTTTGTTATTCATTAGAAAGCTTACGACTCATTACAAAGTTGCAACCCTTAAAAATCATCCCTTATAATAAAATAAAATATTATTGAAAGCTTGAGATGTTTTATTGGTATGCATATGTTGAATTATAAATTTTTTATTGGTTTTCAAATGATCTATCATTCTATGATCAACTTTTCAGCCACCCAAAAAACCCTTATGGAAGACCTACCCCTCATAAAAAACCCTGCACCTTATCGAAAAATTTCCTAAAAATTGTATGTGAGTATAATTAATTTTTTCAATTTTATTGAATTTATTCTTAATATTTTTTTAGTAAATTAATATCAGATACGTTTGTGTATGTATATTATTAAAAATACTTATCCAAATCAGTTCACAAGTGCTCCAAAATACACAAAGTTGATGGCTCCGAAAATTTTACCGAAAAAATGCGATTAATTTTTTTACCATAACTTTTGTAATTTTAAAGTAATATATTTACTCAAAAAACCATTTTGTAGGGAATTTAAAGCACTTTAAATTTTGTGATTTGCAGTTTTTTTGAGCCATTCGTTTTTTAGATTTGTAAGTTAAAAGGGCTCAGGAAAAGCAGTCTTGGAGCTTAGTTTTGAGCTTCTAACGATCATAACTCAAGTCAAATTTTGTCCTACAAAAATTTAAAAAAAGCAAATTGTTCAGTAAGAAAAAACCTACAATTTCTTATTCTATCATTTTTTTTATAACTTTGTTAGTTTTTGAAATATTTTGAAAAAAGGCGATTTTTTAAAAAATTTAAAAATTTTATTCAAAAGTAAATGAAATTTTTTTTTAAATTTAGGCTTCTAAAATCGTTCAAATTCCCAGAATCTACTGTTAATACATAAATAAAGTAAATTGCAGAAGGAATACGTTTAATTTTTTTTCCGTCAAGTCATTAATTTTAATACCGATTTTTTTTTCTCAAAAATCAAGACAATCATTTTATTTTGATTGTAACTTCATTAGTTTTCATGCTAACGACTTCTACCACCACTCAATTTAAAGGTCTTTTCAAGAACTTTAATAGGTGTTATATAGGTTTTCCTCGAAAATCCTTTAATTTTTCCGCTACAGGACGATGAACGTTTCGATTATAGCTATCTTCGAAATTGACTTCAATTTCTGGGAGTCATAACTCGGGTTCTATACCATCTACAAAGATAAAAAAGCGATCTCTTTGCTATTTAATTACCTTCATTTTTGCTTATGATAATTTTTTTGATAAAACTTGTAGTTTTTGAGATATTCGCGAAAACTAGCTCAAAAACATGCATTTTTTGGGCTAAAAACGAACATGTTTAGACGCAAATAACTCAAAAAGTATTGACTGTACAAAAAATTCTTTATAGGACATTTTTTGCTTAGAATTTGTCCCTTTATCGAATTCTGAGGTTATTTTTAATAAAAAAAATTCCCACCCTCCAGAAGGGGTGGCAAAAATTGGTAGCCAAAATGTTTCAGTGACTGGACCACTAGGGATCTACATTTTTATTATGTGAGTTGTAGTGAAGGTATTCGATAGATCCGCCCTGGTCTATTCAACCGGACTTACAAACTTACAATGAATAAAACAGTACCAGTAACAAAAATTCTAGAATTACATGGATTATGAACATAAATAAGGCAAATCCCCCTACAACTAAACTTTTCGCTTTCCGGGATTACATCTCAGTCTTTTTAGGTTTTCCGGGTTCGCCGAGAGCAACGCTCAGAAATCTAAATAAACTCAAACGTGTGGTCTCTCGCTGCAGATTAACCGAAATGGCTACGCATATGTAGTGGCATTGGAAAGATAAAACCGGAGTAAGGCAATAAAAGCCGGAAAGTTACCTGGGTCAACTCACTAAATAATAAAAAATGCCGCAGGGTGAAAACATTCCCGGCAAATGGAATACGGTTGCTATTGATGTTGAAAAGTATTTAAGTGTTAAAAAGAAGCGCAACAAACTTCTGGAACTGATAATACACGTCGAAATAATAGAGAAAAAGTTGATTTGTATTTTTGACACTTAAAAAACTAATGTAAACACTATCGCAACAACAAGAGCAAAAAAAAGAACCAAAACAAGCCTAAGACAAAATTCCTTAACGTTCGCGACATTAACAAAAACGCAAACAAAAAAAAATCCATCCTACTCGTATCGGAGCATCCGATATAGCGGGGGCATCGCTCGTCACAACCCAGTAATCGCCCATCGAACCTTTTTTATTCTTACTGGTGTTTGTGTCTTATATTAATGACGCGTTGGTATTCCGAGCGCCACTAATGATGTCGTTAGCTGATCCGGCGGCGAGTTTGCTCATAATTTATAACCTTTATTTGTCGGAAATGTTAGGGCGATGTATTCGTGCCCGTACGTACGGTGCGGGCGCGCTATTAAATGATACGTACCGTGACCCATTTAATACCAACAAGTGAGCCGGTGTTGGTTTTATTCCGGCGCGCTCGGTATGCTGTCGTCAGAACGAGAGAAGATTCATCTCAGTTTCGAATTTCGAAAAATTAAAAAAATGTGACAACGAAACTGAGGAACCGTAAACGACAGGTCAAAGATGGTCAAAATCCCAAGGGGCCAATTTCCAAACTTAAGACGAACTTTGCTACGGAACCCGTGCGGACTCATCATGGCATGGGATTGATACGATTAATGTTAAATTTGCAGAAATTATTACCTGGACAAAAAAAATATGACCATATAGAAAATTAAATTTTAAATTGAGTTTCTTGTTCTTTAAACTCGATCCAATATGGCGAACATGGTTAAAAAAAATCGCAAAGTTGAAAAAAACGGNTTGGAAAGATAAAACCGGAGTAAGGCAATAAAAGCCGAAAAGTTACCTGGGTCAACTCACTAAATAATAAAAAATGCCGCAGGGTGAAAACATTCCCGGCAAATGGAATACGGTTGCTATTGATGTTGAAAAGTATTTAAGTATTAAAAAGAAGCACAACAAACTTCTGGAACTGATAATACACGTCGAAATAATAGAGAAAAAGTTGATTTGTATTTTTGACACTTAAAAAACTAATGTAAACACTATCGCAACAACAAGAGCAAAAAAAAGAACCAAAACAAGCCTAAGACAAAATTCCTTAACGTTCGCGACATTAACAAAAACGCAAACAAAAAAAAATCCATCCTACTCGTATCGGAGTATCCGATATAGCGGGGGCATCGCTCGTCACAACCCAGTAATCGCCCATCGAACCTTTTTTATTCTTACTGGTGTTTGTGTCTTATATTAATGACGCGTTGGTATTCCGAGCGCCACTAATGATGTCGTTAGCTGATCCGGCGGCGAGTTTGCTCATAATTTATAACCTTTATTTGTCGGAAATGTTAGGGCGATGTATTCGTGCCCGTACGTACGGTGCGGGCGCGCTATTAAATGATACGTACCGTGACCCATTTAATACCAACAAGTGAGCCGGTGTTGGTTTTATTCCGGCGCGCTCGGTATGCTGTCGCCAGAACGGCCGTGTGGCAGAGAGAAGATTCATCTCAGTTTCGAATTTCGAAAAATTAAAAAAATGTGACAACGAAACTGAGGAACCGTAAGCAACAGGTCAAAGATGGTCAAAATCCCAAGGGGCCAATTTCCAAACTTAAGACGAACGAACGAAGAATTTATTAAAGGAGTACCTATATTTGAGTGAAAGTACTCAGCTTTAGTTTAAACACTCAATATTCACTCTGAACCTTTATTGCTTTCACTCATTTCACAGTGTACGAATGTAGATAGCTTCTTTCTCAACAAAATTAGAAGTTAAAAAAATGTAATAAAAATGTAAAAAGGGCAAATATCCCAAGTCGCGCGGAAAAACAAGTGCCAAGAAAAATGTTTAAATGCACGAGGAACCGATAAGCAATTACGTTCTATTTGGACAAACTATTATCATTAATCATCGAAACGATCATCCTCTATTTGTAACGGTGATTGATTGCGCCGCACCAACTAAGAAACTCGAGGGCGGAAAAGAAGTCCTGAATTAATAATATACGTCAAGAACAAATCGTAGGGTTAATTTGCGGGGGAATATCAGCGGTTAATTAATGTTGAGAATATAATAAATTCGCCGTGTGCCGTTTTGATCAGTGTATGCTGTTGTGTTTGGTAGTAGTTTTTAAAGAGTAAAAATATTTGAGAAAACACTACCGTGAACTCTTTCTTCGATGGTGTTTACAGTAACAAATATTGTCATGGTATATTATAAAAATTAATAAAAATTGTACTTACGTAGCGACACAGTGTAGTCCCAGCTTTCGGAATCATTTTTGTGGACATTCAGTTTCTCTGGCTGCAACAAACGATGTAAATTTAATTGTATTGTAGGCAAATAACATAATTGGATGATTTTAAAGCGCATTTCAATACAAAAAAATGCATCATAAGAAACGAACATAAAGGTGCTTTCCCACGATGCGCCACCAAATTTCGTGTTGTGAGGAGGCGCCTTTATATGATTATTTGCATGAAAAATACATTTATTCTGTTTCTATATGCAGTATAAATAAAACTTCATTACGAGACGGGTGAAAATTAATTATATTAATACACTTATCAATTAATACGATCGGAACTGCATCTCTTATTACGTAAAGTAAATGTATATTCATTTTGAAAGTCATTAAATATCTATTAGGCATGCCCTTTCGAAGCATAGCTGCTAACAGTTGGTTAAATTACCATAAATTATTATTATAAAGACAAAATACTTGTAATCGATTTCACCGAAATTAGTGAACGGATTGGAAGGGTGAAATATTCGCGCATCCGTCGTCTTTTTCTACTTTCAAACTGAACCAAATTGCAAATAAAACCGTACCACTTATAGATTTATAGCTAGCGAAACATACACAATGTTTTGAATACAAAATCGGAAGCTATTTTTACCCTCCGAAGGGAATTCGATAAAAGTCAAGACGAAACGTATTATCGTAGGCAAAACGCCTTTAGTTGTCTGAAACGGCGTGTAGGCATTTGTAAGTTGAAACAAACTTCAGTGGTATAGAGAAGCGTCTTCCGGAATATTTATAAAGAGTAATATTTGAGAAAAAAAACAAACAGCATATGTACTATAGAATCTACTTCACTATAACAATAAACAATACTTATAAAATATATAGATACCTAAGTACATATTTATATTTGCATGTGTCATTTTCCACACCAAATGTTTAACATGATGGTGAACCTCATATTTTTTCTATCATTTTTTAGAATCAATATCTACTGTATTGCAAAACAGAGTCAGCGAGATATGAAACCTTTTATGTTGCCCCTAAATTTATCTCTTAACGAAAGTAAACAAAGTAACGGTTGTTTTGAATTAAAATGCGATACGAAAAACAACATGCCAAAGCATTGTAAAACACATGTTTCCCATTAGTCAGCTGGTCGGTTAAATCTTAATTATGTTGTATTCTCTGCTACCGTAGCGAAGGCCTATATGAACAAAATTATATGAAGAACTGATACTATTTTGACCTCATCTATTTGTACTCGATTTTTTTGTATCAAGTACCGGGACACCTTGTATGCATTGATACCATTTTATTGTAGCGCAAAAAAACAGTTTCGAAATTAAAATAACTAAAAACTAATTAGAAAGGTTAAATAAAAACGGTATTAATTACACCAGTTGTACAGTCTTACGCTGACAACAGCAGACTTGAAATTATTGACATGTATTATTAGCGAAACGTTTTTATGACAGTATATTCAGTAACGTTTCAATATTACTAGTCACATCTATTTGATACATATTTCAATAACTCGAATACGTCCATCACTTAAAGAACTGAAGGTTTTCTTTGACACTGCTGCCAAATTAAATGGATAAGGCATGGTAAATTATTCGAATTAGCGTGAAATGAATTCGAACGACAGTATAAAATTTTTCTGCATACGTCAATGTACACATCTTTGATCTACGCTACATTTCGTGTTTTACAATTTCCCGGGAAATCGCACAACGAGTGCATTAACGTCAATCTTGGGCTAAGCCCAGATTATTTTTACGAACGGAAAACTTTAATTTCTCTTTCCAACCTTACAGAGAACAAATCAGTTATCCTAACGAATTCTAGCCCGATCTACTTAATTATTTATGCTGGTTTATGTTGAATTGTTCGTCATACAATTGTTGTTTGTGTAGTTTAGCAAGATTCTTGGCTGGTTGCCTGGGGTACTTCGGGCTGGTTATGAATGATGATTTAGAAATGCAGTTAGTCGTTAATTCCGATTGCTGAATGAACTGCAACTTCGGCGGTTGGTTTATTTCAGTATCGGAGCTTTAATGAGACGTCGAACGTGTTTTTAAATGAGGAACGATACAGAACTTTCCGCAGCAGCGGCTGTTGTCAAATTACTGCGAAATTCGATGTTTATCAAACCGGTGTCACAGCCAGGCTTCTCGCCGTTCTCTTCTGTTATTAAACGAAACAACACCCACACCGTAATGTCGCAAATTGAAATGTTCTCTGTCCTCAAATCTGCCAATTTTCTACAGGGGCGCTTCGACAGGGACACAAAATGTAAAAATTACCTTAGACCAGGGTGGATCTGTTTTGAGGTGGATGTGAGAGGGTGGATTGCCTTCAGTACAACTCGCATAATAGTGTAGATCCTTAGAACTGGGCGAGGTCCGGAACATTTTCAAAATTGCAAAAATTTTTAAAGAATTTTAAAAAATACCCTAAACATATTCAATGTTCTGCGATATAAGAAGGGTTATAATTTTTATTTAACCAAAAACGACGGCGTCAATTAACCTAGTTCCAAAATAAAATTCTATTGCATATTTAAATTAGGTACTAAAATATTAAATATATACGTCATACTTTTATAATAAACCACCAAAAAAAAACGTATGTTCATCAAACGCATGCCTGATTTATGTCACGTTTAAATTTCCTTTTCATTATTTTTAAAAGGAACAATTTAAATATTTATGATAATAAACAAAATAAGATATTCAACACTTCACTATTAACCGTAATTAGACTAACGTTTTTCACATAAAAATTGTTTTTAAGTTGAGAAACATTTAAACAGAGTTGATAGAGTAATTTAGGACCCACATTTAAGTAGCGAACAAAGTATCTACCAATGTATTTTTTTAATGAAATTTATGGCTACGATCTCTCCTTGCTTTTAAATTGTAAATGTGTAGCAAGCCTCTTACCACGCTAACTAAAATAATTTAAAACTTTTCCGATCAAATCAAATAATTCTTAAATAAAAATAGGTACAGACTGTATTTGAGGAAGAATTCGAACAGCGTCTTCGAATTTTAACAAAGATAATTGCAGCACTGCTGATCGATAAATATACGGTGCATTTCGCTTTAGATTCGTTGCCATCGAGTGCAGAAAAAGGCCGGAAGGGCATAATTGAATCGATATCAAAACCAGGGTACGAAAAATAAACACTAAATTCGACATTTATCGATATCTATCTATCTGTAAGTCAAATTATGAATAATTTTTGTATAAATTCCACATATTCTACAAATGTGCAATGTTTTGCTGTAATTTCATTGAAACAAAATATCTCTAAGCCTTAGAAGATATCTACGCAATATTAATAAAGTTCAAAATAACCGCTTTCCATACTAGTACCTGCTCAATAAATGCTGATTACATTTACGCGAAGTATACGCTTTAAAAATACAGCGTTTTTAAAAAGCGCATTTTGTAATTATTCAGATGAAGAAATCACGTGTAAGCACACGGGAGGCATTTTGCCAAGAACTTTAAGAGAGGATTAAAAGTAAATACCACTTGTTCTTGTTCACAACATACTGTAAATCCCAAAACCAATTATTCAACAAAAATTTAAATGGATGCTTATCGTGCGCTTATAATTTATTTTTATTAAAAGAAACTGGACTGTTTCTCGAGATACATGTCATAATTGTGCTCCACATTCCTTCATAAGTAAAGATTTTAAAATATTACCTTAGGATAACAAATATAAGATAGTTAAATCAAAATTGCGGTATTTCCAAACCATACGTGACTTATTTACTAGAAGAAATTGAAAAATTAATAGCTTGAAAGCGTTGTACATAGCATGCTTTCGAGATTGACGGTAAATCAAAAACAGCTAATTAATTAATATAAAACACCGGGCAGCGGTCCCATGCACATAAATTAAAGCGAAGAACTAATTAATTTACAACCAAATTCTGAATTTGTCTTTTAAAGGAGTTGTCAGTCTCTCCAGCAATACATCATATATTGCATATACCTTCATCACAATTTAGTAGATTATTATATTCAAAATGTAGATAAACAAGCAATACAAACAACTATTTATTTGCAGTTTATATTGTTGTATCCGATTTTGAGTTACAAAAAGTCCAATTCAAACAAAAACATCACCGCAGGTGACATTTTTTATTCTATGATTATAGGTACTTGAAATTATTTTTATTCTTTATTTTTCAAGAATAAAAATTGATATCTTATTAACAACACGCAATTTTTTTGTGTGGATAGATGATGCTCTAATGACACTTTAATCACAAAAACCGAACAAACAACAAATTTAAATTCATCAAATATCCAATTAACCAATTGCACGATATAAATAATTTCAAAGTTTTTTACATCGAGATAAGGCCGCCGCCGCCTACTCAAATTATATCGCAGAAAAACGTGTCTCTATTACAAATTTGAGATAATTAGGCCCCATTGGTTAACTTGATTACAGAAACTAATTTTGTTAGTCCTTAAGGCATCCAACTAATGTATAAACTTCACCACGGGATTACACAAGTTTTAATTGATTTCGAATACGCGAGTGGGTGCATATCACTGCGAGATTTTACGTAAGTTTTCCTTCAACAGTTAAAGTGCTCCTGTTTTATTAACAAACACTGTAGTTCAATATTGAAATTATATCGCTAGTCATTTAGATTAAGATATGACAAAAATTACCAAATGTTTCAAAGCCCATTTTTTCTCATAACCACCCAGCGAACAAGTTTAGGATTTTGCAATATATTTCCTGGTTACCTACATCGCATTTAAATTGTAAGCGACCTATATTTCGCCTTTCGAATTTAACGTTACTCGAGTAATCCTGACATCTGCACCAAACAAATCCCGTCGATCCCGCTTTACGTAATCCTATTACACAGCGTATAATGCAAGTGCATCGCATACTGTGTGCCATATTAGAAACATATGTAAATAAATAATGTATAGAACATCTTCCTGACAGAGGACATAAAAGTATACCAATATTTTTGTTCCTTTCGATTGCAAGCTTTTTAAGTAAAACACAATT